TTGTTTTTTAAGCCAGGGTCTCATTCTGTCACCCAGATTGGAGTGCAGTGGCATGATCACAGCTCACCCAGCCTCGAACTCCTGGTAACAGGTGATCCTCCCACCTCAGCCTCCCAAGTAGCTAGGATTATAGGCACTCACCACCATATCTGGATAATTTATTTTGTAGAGACAGTCTCACTATATTGCCCAGGCTAATCTTGAACTCCTGGGCTCAAGCAGTTCTCCAGTCTCAGCCTCCCACAGTGCTGGGATCATCAAGGCATGAGCCACCACCCCCAGCCTAGAAGATTCCTGACAAGAGTTTAGGGTTCCAAAGTCTATGGAACCACAGGTTTTGGTCAAAATGACAAGGCTCTTATTAATAGAGCATTTGCACACCTTCTTCATTATCAAAGTGTTCATCACGTTTGCATTTCATAATTTTTTTTTTTTTTTTGAATTGGAGTCTCACTCTGTCACCCAGACTGGAGTGCGGTGGCCACTCCCGGCCACCACAGTCTCGACCTGCTGGGCTCCAGCGATCCTTCCGCCTCAGCCTTCCAAGTAGCCGGAATTACAGGCATGCGCTACCACGCCCGGTTGACTTTTTGATTTATTGTAGAGATGAGGTCTCGCTGAGTCAGAATATTCATCAAGTCTTTCTTGTTCAAACTGCTATGTGCCAGGACTGTTCCAGGGGGCACAGATAGAGCAGTTAAGACAGGAAAAATCCCTGCCTTCATGTGCTCATGTTCCATGAACGAGGAAAAGCCCCAACAGGTACATACAGAGAAAACAAATGAACATGCCAGACAAGAAGGGCAGCGAAGATGCTTGGGGTGGAAGGGGCAAGCAGACACTACCTATGAGATGGCCAGGGTAAATCCTGTCTGAGGACGATTGCTGGAGCAGAGACCCAGTCAGCAAGGGCAGTGGGAGCCAGGGAAAGGGTTCTTTTTCTTTTTTCTTTTTTTTTTTTGAGGTAGTCTCACTTTGTCACCTAGGCTGGAGTACAGCGTCATGCTCAGAGCCACCACAGCTTTGACCTGCTAGGCTTAGGCAATCCTTCCATCTCAGCCTTCCAAGTAGCTGAAACTACAGGCACGTGCCACCACACCTGGCTAATTTTTTATTTATTGTAGAGGTGAAGTCTTGCCATGTTGCCCAGGCTGGTCTCGAACCCGCAGGCTCAAGCAATCCTCTCTCCTCCACCTCTCAAAGTGCTGGGATTACAGGCATGAGCCGCTGCACCTGGCAGGCTTAATTTTGAAACAGCCAAGTTCACAGTTTCCAAGAGAAGCCATACTCCAGGGAGAATGTGCAGCAAATACCCTGAACAGGAAAATTCTGGCACTTAGCAGAGACAGCAGATCAGCGGGGCTGGACCCTGCAAGGGGCCCAGTAGCAGGGGACAGAGTCAAGCAGAGGCGGCAGGAACTTCTTTCTGCCTTGCACAAGTGGCTGGAGGGCTATGCCCAGAGCAGTGACATGGTCAAACCTATCTTTAACAAGACTCCTCTGCAGAGTTGCAGGGGTGGTGGGGAGGGGGAGAACAGACTGCAGGGGTGAGGGAGGAGGCAGACAAGCAACGAGGAGGTTTCCACATGCTTCCAGGTGAGGAACGTGACCAGCTGCCTTATGCAAGTTGAAACTCTCAGTAGAAGCACTGGTATGTGTGTGTGTGTGTATGTGTGTGTGTGTGTGTGTGTGTGTGTGTGTGTGTGTGTGTGTGTGTGTGTGTGTGTGTTTAGTCAGGGTCTCACTCTGTCACCCAGGCTGGAGTGCAGTGGCATGCTCACAGCCACTGCAGCCTCGACCTCCTGAGTTCAGGCAATCCTTCTGCCTCAGCCTGCCAAGTAGCTGGGACTATAGGCGCATGTCACCATGCTCAGTAACTTTTTTTATTTTTTGTAGAGACAAGGTCTTGCTATGTTGCCCAGGCTGGTCTCTAAATCCTGGGCTCAAGCAATCCTCCTGCCTCTGTCTCCTAAAGTAGCATTACAGACGTGAGCCATCATGTCTGACCAGTTTTGTATTTTAATACTCAGGAATAAGGTTTGCTCAAAACATTGCTAACTTCAGTGTTAACTTCCTCATAAAACTAATGCTAATATGGGGGGGGCAGAGGGGTTGGTTTTTTTGAGTTGGAGTCTCTGTTGTCCAGGCTGAAGTACAGTGGTATATTCATGGCCACAGCAGCCTCCACCTGCTGGGCTCAGGCAATCCTTCCATCTCCACCTTCCTAGTAGCTGGAACCACAGGCATACACCACCACACCTGGCTAATTTTTGATTTATTGTACAGACGAGGTCTTACCAAGTTGCCCAGGCTGGTCTTGAACCTCTGGGCTCAGGCAAGCCTCTCACCTCTGCTTCCCAAAGTGCTGAGATTATAGGTGTAAACCACTGCACCCAGCAAACTAATGCTAATTAATAGGCATACAAGATGAATGAGTCGATTATGAATGAATTATTAATTGATTAATTACTAATGAATTAGTAAATAACCACAAGTCAAACATTAATAATTGTTTATATTATTGATTGAGCAATAAGTATTTGTTAATCAATAATTAATTAGTAGACATCCTTAGACTAAAAGGGGAGCTTTTTGTTTCTGTCAAGGGTTGAATTTCACTGAATTATAAAATACTCAAGGTTAAGAGCATGGTATGGGCATGCATCAATAAGCATTTGGGTTGCATATTAAATCTCTTGAGTGCTAGTCCTAAGTTCACAATTTAACTAAAAAATTGGGCTTATACTATTAAATAAACATTTTCTGCTTTCTGAGAATCTTGTAAAGTAACCCACCCAAAACAAAGGAAAGCATGCCCATGCCCTGGGCTCCCCATAAGCAACCTTACTTCCCTTGGCCCATGGGTGCCTTTATTGGCCAAATTAAGTTTTAATTTGTTTGTATTATTATTATTATTATTTTTGTCAGAGTCCCACTCTGTTGCCCAGGCTGGAGTGCAGTGGCACGATCATGGCTCACTGCAGCCTCGACCTCCTTGGCTCAGAAGATCCTTCCACCTCAGCCTCCTGAGAAGCTGAGGCTACAGGTGAGTGCCACCATGCCTGGCTAATTTTTTTTATTTTTGTTGAGACGAGGTCTTGCAATGTTGCCCAGGTTGGTCTCGAACTCCTGGACTCAGACAATCCTTCTGCCTTGACCTCTCAAAGTGCTGGGATTACAGGCATGAACCACCACGCCCCACCAGTCAAACTAAGTTTGTGGTATCATTTTGCTCTGTCTTTAATTTACACCATATGGCCCCTGTCATTCTTCTCTCACGTGGTAAATTATCACACTTGGAGTCAAAGGGTTTAACATCAGCACACCTGTCTTAGAATCCCCCAACTATGGACAAGTCCCAAATAACAGTCATCAAATAACCTCCCAAAGTGGACCGACACCCGCTCTGGCCTGGTGCTTCACCCACATCAGTTCCAAAAGGGTCACACCATTATTCCCACTTCACAAAAAAAACAAAACAAGGGAGGTGCAGAGATCAAGTCACACATCCTGGCACGGACACATGAGGGAGCGAGGACTCACTCCCCAGTGCCAGTCCGGACCTATGGTTGATGCTGCCTCCCCTGTCAAGGCCATGGCCATGGTCCTGTCTGCATCACCCTCGAGCTGTGTGGGGTCTGTAGGGAATCCCACCCACCTTCCCATCGAGGCCCTAGGCCTTCTCAGACCCCAGCAGGGTGATTAGCTCCAACCCAATCCTGCAGAGTCCCCTGGGTCAGCCACCACGTCTGCCCTCTCACACATTCCACCCTGTGGATCTCAGCATCACTGTCTGGAAGATTCCTGGGCATAACCCACATGGCCTGCCCTTGCAGCCTGAGGAAGAGGCATATGCCAACAGACTCAGGCAGAGCCTTCGGCATTGGAGGGCAAGTGACAGCCTCCCCATAAACTTACTCGCAACAGGACTCACAGAGGCTGCTGCTGATAGCGCCCCACAAGTCTGGGGGCCTCGAGTTTAAAGGAGTCTTCATGCTAACAAGGTGCCAAGCTGAGCTGACTCCAGTCACTGGAGAACCAGCTGTGCTGTGCATATGTGCGCACCCTTGTCCCAAATGGTGCCATCTTTTTTGAATCAGAGCCTCACTCACTCCATTGCCCAGGATGGAGTACAGTGACACAGCCACAGCTCACTGCAGCCTCAACTTCCTAGGCTCAAGCAATCCTCCTGTATCAGCCTCCTGAGTAGCTGGGACTACAGGCGTGAACCACCATACCTGGCTAATTTTTTTTCGTAGAGATGAGGTCTTATTATGTTGCCCAGACTGTTCTCAAGCAAGCCTCCTAAAGTGCTGGGATTATAGGCATGAGCCACTGTGCCCAACTGGTGCCAAATTTTAAAGCCACTGCTGCAACTGCTGCCCCTTCTTCTCAGTGCTGTGGGCAGAGGCCTGGTGGCCCAACCTCCTTACTCTGTGGAGACCTTGTGGGGACAAGAGTGACTTTATTTTAAATGCCAATCTTGCCAGGCGCAGTGGCTCATGCCTTTCATCCCAGCACTTTGGGAGGTGGAGGAGAGAGGACTGCCCGAGTCCAAGGGTTCGAGACCAGCCTGGGCAATTTGGCAAGACCTAAACTCTATAATAAATCAAAAAATTAGTCAGGCATGGTGGTATATGCTTGTAGTCCCAACTACTTGAAAGATGGAGGCGGAAGGGTCACCTGAGCCCAGCAGGTGGACCATGAGCATGTCACTGCACCCCAGCCTAAGTGAAAAAGTGAGACTCTGACTCAAAAAAAAAAAAGTGTATCTGCCATATAACTCCTGACTGTCCCGGAGTCCAGGAATGCCTCTGAACTGTACGGTCAATGCGATATTCTTTTTGCAGGAACACCCATTCAGTAAGTTTTCTCCAAACAACACTTATCATCGCAGAAATCACAGGCTGTGACGCTGCCTACACATCCCTTCCCGAACACCCATTCTTCTTCCTCAAGACATAAGCTCTGGGTCTAGAGGCTTATGGTTCAGACACCTACCTGTCTTGTGGCCACCCAAGACCACACTTCTTTTTTTTTTTCTTAAGTCAGAGTCTCACTCTGTCACCCAGGCTGGAGTGCAGTGGCACACGCACGGCCACTGCAGCCACGACCTGCTGGGCTCAGGTGATCCTTCTGCCTCAGCCTTCCAAGTAGCTGGAACTACAGGCATGCGCCACCACGTCTGGCTAATTTTTTGATTTATTGTAGAGACAAGGCCTCACCAAGTTGCCCAGGCTGGTCTTGAACTCCTAAACTCAGGCAATCCTCTTATCTCCGCCTCCCATCACAGGCAAGAGCCACTGCCCTCTGGCCAGAGACCAGGCTTCTTTCTGTAAGTTTCCCTAATAAATTACCTGAAACTGACCAACTGGATGCATCCACCTTTTTGTTTGGCTTCTCAGCTTTCTCTGCATCTGAGTTGCCTTGCACAGATGGCCCTTTCATGGATCACACCTCTCCTGTGTGGGTCCTCCCTGCAGGCTTGGTCCTCACAGCTCTGGGAAAGCCTCCCAAGGGGTCAGGGTTCACTGAGCTGCCTGTGGCACCTCCAGCAACCTCTGCCTCCCAGACTTGAGCCCTGTCTCCAGCCTGTCCCTGCCAGTAGTGTCACTGAACTCCCTTGACCTCCAAGGCCCAGACCCACCCCTTGCACAATCCCCCAGGCAGCAAGGGCCAGCCCCAACCTTGCTGAACTCAGACAGGTAGACCACTCCCCAGGGAGCAGTTAGTTACCTTTCGGCCACTGATGACCTGGGGATGTAGAAGTCTTCCCCTGTGAGGTATGCAGCGGCCGTGCCACCTCCAAAGTAGGTCTTCCTCAGCAGGGGAGCCACGCGGCGATGCACCAGCAGGGCACCCAGGCCCGTGGGGAATCCAAAGATCTTGTAGAAGGAGACAGGGACAAAGTCGGCCGGGTGAGCCGACAGATCCAGTGGTGAGGTACTCACGTAGGCTGCCGCATCCAGCAACACGAACCACTTCCCAGGCACACCCACCGGGCGCATCTGCCCGGATTTGACCTCTCCTATCCACGTCAGGGGATATCTGGTTCCAGAAAAGTTGCTCTGAGCTGGGTAACAGAAGAGGTGTGGCAGCTGGCAGTCAGGGTCGCTGGGTCCGTCACCCTGTCCCTCTGCTGACCTCAGGTCCTCTGGTCTGACTGCAGTGGATGTGACATTCAAGGCCATGGTCACCTCCCTCATGCCCACCACGGAGGTGTGGCTGTCCGTGAGGTAACAGAATCGGCTCCCGCTGCTCTCCGGGCCCTGGGACACCCACGGAAAAGCCTCTGCCACCAGTTTGAGAGCCGCCGTGCTCCCAGAAGTGAAAATCACGCTGTAGTCCTCTGTGGTGGTATGGAAGAGCGCCAGGATCCTGCAAGAAGCGCAGTGTTGCTGCGGCCCCTGGGTTTCAGTCCCCATGCTGAGTGCCTGCAGTTGTTTTATTTCTATTAACTGTGACATCCCTGCCTTAATAGCTAGAAAAAATGCCAGGTAGGTTTTGCCACAATTGTGAAATAAGGGCAAGGACAGAGGAAGTCTTGGGAAGAGGTGACAGATCAATTCTAACTGGTAAAGTCACCTCTCCCAAGTCCCACCTTCAGTTGGATATGACAGAAATCCACAACCACCTTAGTCTTAGCTGAAAAAGCCCTCTCTTCAGTGTCTCAATCTGGCTAAAACATAAGTTTTTTTGTTTTGTTTTGTTTTGTTTTTTTAGTTGGAGGCTCACTCTGTCGCACAGGCTGGAGTGCAGTGGCACACTCACGGCCACCCCAGTGTCGACCTGCTGGGCTCTGGCGATCCTTTTGCCTCAGCCTTCCAAGTAGCCGGAACTACAGGCACACACTACCGCGCCCAGCTAATTTTTTTTTTAATTGTAAAGATGAGGTCTCACCAAGTTGCCCGGGCTGGTCTTGAACCCGTGGCTCAGGCAATCCACTTGCCTCAGCCTCCCAAAATGCTAGAATTACAGGCTGAGCCACCGAGCCCGGCCGGAACATGAGTTTTAAGTCATCCACCTGTTTTACACTGTCTTTCATCTTAGCAACCCTAATAGCAAATCAATATCCCTTGCGAATGTGAAATGGTGTTGACCTGAAATTATCTCAATAATTTTAGGCACCAATTGGGAATTTTTTGCCAGAAACTAATTATTACATGTGAAAAGTATCAAGATCTGTTTAACATACAAATACTAGTAAAAAGGGCAAGGAAGCCGGGCTCGGTGGTTCAGCCTGTAATCCCGTGCTTTGGGAGACCGAGGTGAGTGAATTGCCTGAGGGTTTGAGGCCTGCCTGGGCAACTTGGCGAGACCTCATCTCTACAATAAATCAAAAAAATTAGCCAGGCATGGTAGCGCGCACCTTTAGTTCCAGCTACTTGGAAGGCTGAGGCGGAAGGATTGCCACAGCCCAGCAAGTTGAGGCTGTGGTGGCCGGGAGTGTGCCACTGCACTACAGTCTAGGCGACAGAGTGAGACTCCAACTCAAAAAAAAAAGGGTAAGGAAGATATGAATAAAACAAGATGCCTGGCCAGGTGCAGTGGCTCATGCCTGGAATCCTAGCACTTTGGGAGGCTGAGGCATGAGGCTCACGTGAGTCCTGGAGCTTGAGACCAGCCTAAGCAACATAGCAAGACTCTGTCTCTATGAAAAATCAAAAAATTAGCTGGGCATGGTGGTACACACCTGTAGTCCTAGCTACTGAGGAGGTTGAGGCAGAAGGATTGTCTGAGCCCAGGAGGTTGAAGCTGCAGTGAGCCCTCATGGTGCCACTGCACTCCAGTCTGGGTGAAAAAAAAAAGATGACTAATAATACTTCTTATGAAAAGGAAAACCAGAGAAGAGTACATTTCTTCTCCTTTCTGAAAATAGGACCTAGGATCCTGAGTCACTCCCTTCCACACTGGTGCCAGTACAGAGCCACACATAGAATAGCTGTCTGCCTGTGCTTCCGTCCGCCCTGCCCTGTATCTGTACACCCTCACCTTCCCAGCTCTCACCCCCAATGTTTCTCATCATGTGAGCATTGCCTTTTATCTGACTGTGGTCTCCCTGAAACCATCCTAGAGCCTCTGTGGGCTGCATGCAGGCACTAGGAAGGAATTCTATCCACCCAGATGTTCCCGGCCAGGCAGGCATCCCTGTGGCTCACCTGTAGCGCACCTGCTCCACGGTGTCATAAGTGAGCTTGCTACTGATGTTCTGGCTATGAGGATTACCTGTAGGTTACAAAGATGAAGGGGTCAGCCGGGCTCAGTGGCTCAGCCTGTAATCCCGCGCCTTTGGGAGGCTGAGGTGAGCGGATTGCCTGAGCCCGCGGGTTCGAGACCCACCTGGGCAGCGAGACCTCATCTCTCCAATAAATCAAAAAATCAGCTGGGCGTGGTAGCACATGCCTGTAATTCTGGCTACTGGGAAGGCTGAGGCGGAAAAATCGCCACAGCCCAGCAGGCAAGACTGCGGTGGCTGGGAGCAGCCACTGCACTCCAGTCTGGGCGACCAAGTGAGACTCCAACTCAAAAAAAAACCACAAAAAAAACAAAGATGAAGGGGTCAAGTCACTTACAGTCTCTTGTGTTGTGTGCCCTTCAAATCCACCCCTGCAGTTTCTCAAAAAGCTAAACATAAGACAGCTTTAGGACCTAGCAATTCTGCTCCTAGCTATCTGCCCTAAAAAAATGAAAACTTATGTCCACACCAAGACCCACAGATGAATGGTCATGGCAGCTTTATTCATAAAACCAAAATCTGGAAACAGCATAAATGCCTATCAACTGGTGAGCAGATAAACAAGATATGGTAAGATGGAAAATTATTTGGTAATAAAAATGAGCAAACTGCCAGGTACGTGGCTCATACCTGTAATCCCAGCACTTTGGGAGGCTGAGGCAAGAGAATTGCCTGAACCCAAAGGTTCAAGACAAGCTTGAGCAACATGGTGAGACCTCATCTCTACAATAAATCAAAAAATTAGCCAGGCATGATGGCACATGCCTATAGTTCCAGTTACTTGGAAGGCTGAGGCAGGAGGATCACTTGAGCCCGGCAGGTGGAGGCAGCGGTGGCCATGAGCGTGCCACTGCACTCTAGCCTGGGTGATAATGAGATTCCAACACACACATACAAAAAAGGAACAAAATCCTGACTGTGTCATGAATGAACTTAAAAAATGTGCTAAGTGAAAGATTCCAGGCCCAGGAGTCCACATATTTGCATGAATCCATGTATATGAAATGTCCAGCAAAGGTAATCGTGTAAACATACAGAAAGTAGTTTCTGAGCATGGTGGCGCATGTCTGTAATCCTATCACTTTGGGAGGTCGAGATGAGAGGACTGCTTGAGCCTAAGTGTTCAAGACCAGCCTAAGCAACATAGCAAGACCTCACCTCTACAAAAAAATAAAAACATTAGTGAGTGTGGTGGTGTGCACTTGTAGTCCCAGTTACTTGGAAGGCTGAGGTGGGAGGATATCCTGAGCCCAGGAGTCTGAGGTTGCCCTGAGCCTGATCATGCCACTGCACTCCAACTCGGGCAACAGAGTGAGACCCTGGCTAGAGGAAAAGAATAAAAAAGATATAGAAAGTAATAGATCAGGCCAGTTTGGTGGCTTAGCCTGTAATCCTAGCACTTTGGGAGGCTGAGGCAAGAGGATTGCCCGAGCCCGTGGGTTCAAGACCAGCCCAGGAAACTTGGCAAGACCTTGTCTATACAATAAATCAAAAAATTAGCCAGGCATGGTAGAATGCACCTGTAGTTCTGGCTTCTTGGAAGGCTGAGGCAGAAGGATTAGCGGAGCCCAGCAGGTCAATGCTGGGGTGGCCATGAGCGTGCCACTGCACTCCAGCCTGTGCGACAGAGTGAGACTCCAACTCAAAAAAAAAAAAAAGAAAAAAAAAGTAGTAGATCAGTGATTGCCTGGGGCTGAGAGGGGCAACAGAAATTGACTGTAAATGGTGGTAGGATTTTTTTTTTTTTTTTGTCGTGGTCTCTGTTGCCCAAGCTGGAGTGCAGGGGCACACTCACAGCCACCACAGCCTCAACCTGCTGAGCTCAGGTGATCATTCCGCCTCAGCCTTCTAAGTAGCTGGAACTACAGGTATGTGCTACCACACCTGGATTATTGTTTTATTTATTGTAGAGACAAGGTCTCACCAAGTTGTCCAGGCTGGTCTTGAACCCCTGAGCTCAGGCAGTCTTCTCGCCTCGGCTTCCCAAAGTGCAGGGATTACAGGCTTGAGCCACTGTGCCCAGCCTGGCAGAGGGATCTTAGTGGGGTAATGAAAAGTCTAAATGATGAACAGTGATGGTTGTACTGCTACTCGTTAATTTACTGAAAAATCAGTGCACACCTAAAGTAGGCACTGATTTTTTCTTTTCTTTCTATTTTTTTTTTTGGAGGTGGAATTTCCCTCTATCACCCAGGCTGGAGTGCAGTGGTGTGATCATAGCTCACTGCAGTCTAGAACTCCTGGGCTCAAGCCATCCTCTAGCCTCAGCCTCCTGAGTAGCTAGGACCATAGGCATGCACCATCATACATGAATAATTATTTATTATTTATTTTTTTAGTTTTTTATAGAGACAGGGTTTCACTATTGCCCAGGCTGGACAACTGCCCAGGCTGGCTTCAAACTCCTCAAGCAATCCTCCTGCCTCAGTCTCCCAAAGCACTGGGATTATAGGCATGAACTACCATGCCCAGCTGGTAAATTTTATATGTAAAATATAACTCAATAAAGCTGTCAAAACAGACAAATTTTTAACAACCATTCTCTCACTGAGAAAACCCAATCAGATCCAGGAAGAGCTCATTGGGGGGGGGACAGTGCAAGACGGTTTCTATAATTTCCCAGGTGGCCTGTGGTGCTGTTAATTAACTCCAGGGAACCCAACACACAACCTCAGGAAGTCTCCCTCTCCTTCAGCTTGAGATGGGGCCCACGAACGCCACTAAATCTAAGTCCCCACCTGCTGTCCTCCAGATCCCACCAGTGCGGCAGGCACGGTTCCTGCAAAAACACATCTGTCTCCTCCTCCCAGTGGGTAAAGAGGCCACCACGTCTCCCTTCAGCCACCCACTCTCAAGGATAAAGTCCCTCTCAACTTCACCCTTCTTCTTGTGATTTCCAGTTTTTCTCCCTTCCTGGTGTCCCCACGGAGTGTATTCCAGACTATCACCATCTCCCTCAAAACTCAACCCCCAGGAAGACCTCAGTAGGTCCTGATCTGAAGGGCCAGGCACCAGCACCTCTCAGGAGCTACATGTGCACCTGAATTTAGGGTTGGCCTTTTTTGTTTCATGTATTTACTTTGAGTTGGGGTCTCACTCTATTACCCAGGCTGGTGTGTGGTGGCATGATGATGACTCTGCAGCCTCGACCTCCTGGGCACAGGTGATCCTTCCACCTCAGCCTCCCGAGTAGCTGGGACTACAGGTGTGCATCACCACGCCTGCCCGGCTAATTTGTGTGTGTGTGTGTATGTGTGTGTGTGTGTGGCAATGAGGTCTCATTATGTTGCTCAGACTGGTCTTGAACTCCTGGCCTCAAGCAATCGTTCTTCCTTGGCCTCCCAGAGTGCTGGGATTATAAGCATGAGCTACCACGCCCAGTCCCTTTTTTGTTTTAGATGGTTTTTCCTCAAAACACACTCGATTTCTGGCCACTGCAACAACCAGACATTCCTCTTCCACATCTGGTGACCTGTGGGAACTCGCCTTGTCACCCTTCCTGCCTTGAATTTTAGCCTGGCCTCATTAGTACCACCTGTTATCTGGGTTCAGTCACCTCTCAGGATAACACCTTCCCATGGTTATGACTCCAGCAAAGGTCAGAGAAGGAGAAGTGCAGGTCTTTTTGCAAATCATGAATTCAAACCAAGTGAAATCCCTCCTTGGCATCTTCCCAAAAGCTTGTTCCCCAGATCTAATTATCTGCTGGCTGTCCAGAGCCAAGATTCAGTGCCTTTGTGTGACAAACAGAACTTTCCCAGGCCGCGCACAGTGGCTCAAGTCTGTAATCCCCAGCTCTTTGGGAGGCCGAGGCGAGAGGATTGTCTAAGTCCATGGGTTCGAGACCAGTCTGGGCAACTTGGTGAGACTTCGTCTCCACACTAAATAAAAATTAAAAAAAAAACTGTCCCAGATCAAGACACTCTGGTGGAGGTTTAGGGCTTGGGTTCTAGAGCCAAACTGCCCAGAGACTCAGCTCCCAGCTCCCCCTGCTCCAGTACTTCCTGTGCAGCCCCAGGCTAGTCACTTACCCTCTCTGGGGCCCCATTTCCTCACCTGTAAAACAGGAGTGACACCAGAACCTAAGCCTCTTGAGTTATTGTGAGGATGAAGAAATAATAAAAAGCACTCCAAACAGTACCTGACAGGAGAGTGCCTGGTGAATGCTATTTAACGCATTGTAATGTAACAGAGATTACATTACATTACGAATATTATAATGGCTCCTGCTGCTATTATTTCAAGCTCCTGTCCCAAGGTATCTCCTGATCATGTTTATGCTGCTGATTAATGCCCTCTATGATTGTTCATTGTTCCTAGAACTAAGAACAAACTCTTCTAGTCTTCTAGTCTGGTGCAGTGGCTCATGTCTGGAATCCCAGTACTTTAGGAGGCCAAGACAGGAGGATTGCTTGAGCCCAGGAATTTGACACCGGCCTGGGTGACATAGCAAAATCTTTTTTCTTTAAAAAAAAAAAAAAGCCAGAGGCAGTGTCTCATGCCTGTAATCCCAATACTTTGGGAAGCCAAGGTGAGAGGATTGCCTGAGCCCGGCGATTCAAGACCAGCCTGGGCAAGTTAATGAGACCTCGTCTCTACAATAAATCAAAAAATTAGGCATGGTGGTGCATGCCAGTAGTCCCAGCTACTGGGAAGGCTGAGGTGGGAGGATCACCTGAGCTGAGCAGGTCGAGGCTGCAGTGGTCGTGAGCATGCCTCTGCACTCCAGCCTGGGAGACAGAGTGAGACTCAATAAAAAAAACAAAACAAACTCTTTGAGCATCTACAACACCTTGTTTGCCTCTTCCTCCAACCTCCTTCCCTCCCTCCCCTGCCCTACTCCCTTCCGGCTCTCACCCTCCTCTCCTCCCTTTCCCCTGTCAGGCCTCCCCACCCTCCTCTCTCTCTCTGTGTTCCTGGACCAGTTCCTGAAACCACAGCAGGATCTTGGCTCATGCTGTTGCCCTGCCTGTTTGGCCTTCTCCTCCCCTTGTCTGAGTGAATTCCGGCTCATCCTCCGCATCCCTAACATGCACAGGCCGACAACCGCTGCCCTGGCCCCTCCCTCAGTTGGAATTCTCTTTGGAATTCACTTGATTAAGCTCTTGTCTTCTGGGACTAGACTACAGTCTCCTTGAAGAAAGGGACTGTGTTTGTTTTGTTCCCATTATGGGACCGTGTCCTACACATCACAGTGGCTCAATAAACGATTATGATGTGAATGAATGAATGAATGAAAGTTCCTCCTGCCACCCCCCACCTCTGTGCTGTACAGGGTCACTCACCACCACCAAAAACAGCACCTTGGGACCTCTGTGTCCTTTCTGACCCTGACCCCTTCTTCCGGAAGTAGCATGTGTTCCTGGCAGCTCTTCCCATCTCAGTCATTTGTGTACCAGACAGAATGCCGGCGGCGGGGGGGGGGGGGGTCCTGACTCCCATCTGACTTATCCAGCTTTGCACAGTCCCTGCCTATTAATCCACACTACTTTTTTGAGTCAGGGTCTCACTCGGTCACCCGAACTTGAGGGCAGTGACAGGATCATGGCTCACCGCAACCTCGACCTCCTGGGCTCACGTGATCCTTCTGCCTCAACCTCCTGAGTAGCTGGGACTACAGGAGGGTGTCATCATGCCAGTTTTTAAAAAATCTTATTCTTTGTAGAGATGAGGTCTTGCTATATAGCTGGGTTTGGTCTCAAATTTCTGGGCTCAAGCGATCCCCCTGACTCAGCCTCTCAAAGTGCTGGGATTACAGGCATGAGCCACCAGGCCCAGCCTCCACCATGTATTAAGAATAGATATATCAGTTGCCTGTCATTGGTTACAATCTGTTTTTCTTTACCGTAAACATTTTCCGTGAGATCCCGAGTAAAGTTTTCAAGCTGGCTCTGGGGGAACAAGGTGGCGCCTGCATGGTCGAGGTAGACAGTCCCTGAAAAGAAACAGAACAAGACTGCAGGTTGCCTTTCTAGGAATTCCAGTCCTTTTACCTAAGCCTGGTTTGTGTGAGCCTGACCAACACCCGTGGAATGCGTGTAGACATAATACCAGGCCCCCAGTGACTCTGAACCTTTTGATACGAGTTCCTTAATAGGCATGAGTCATGGAAGAACTGCACTTCCAATGTTTAAGGACACTTGGAGCCCTGAGAGAGCCTTCAGGAACCAGCTCTCTTGCCCTTTTATGCCTGGAATAGCCTCACGGGAGGAGGCCAGCAGCATCTGTGATGAAGGATGGCAAAGCTATTTCACACTGTGACTCACACCCTGTGGCTTCCCTGAGGGTAAGCCCTGGCCCTGTTTCCCACTCTGCTCCACACGCCTCAGCCCTCACAGGGCTGCGAGAGCTTCAGAGGGGATGAGGATTCTTGATTAAGCTCTCGTCTTCTGGGACTAATTCTTCCAGCCTTTCTCATAAAGACAGAAATGCAAGTTTAGATGAGTGATATTGTGACTGGCTGATCAATTGCAAAGACCAAAGGTTGGATACCACACTGTATCGGGAAGTCATGGGGACACAGGCTCACTGGTACATGGCTGGAGGGAGGACACATTGGTGTACCTTTATGAGCAGCAATTTGTAATATCAGTCTCACTTTAAAATAAAAAAAAAATACCCTTTGACTCAGCAATTCCTCTTCTAGGAATTTCTCTTATAAATACCTATGTCTGGCTGGGCATGGTGGCTCATGCCTGTAATCCTAACACATTGGGAGGCCAAGGCAAGAGGATTGCTTGAGCCCAGGAGTTCAGAGATCAGCCTAAGTAACATAGGGAGACCTCGTCTCTACAAAAAACTAAAATTTAGCCAGGTGCGGTGACATGTGCTAGGGACAACTACTAGGGAGGTTAAGATGGAAGGATCATTTGAGCCCAAGAGGTTGAGGCTGCAGGGAGCCGTGCTTGTGTCATTGTTCTCCAGTCTGGGTGACAGAGTGAGACTCTGACCCTTTTTTTTTTTTGAGTTGGAGTCTGACTCTGTCGCCCAGGCTGGAGTGCAGTGGCATGCTCATGGCCACCACAGCCTCGACTTGCTGGGCTCAGGCGATCCTTCCCTTCAACCTTCCAAGTAGCTGGAACTACAGGCGTGTGCCACCACACCCAGCTAATTTTTTTTTAACTTACTGTAGAGATGAAGTCTCACCAAGTTTCCCAAGTTGGTCTCAAACCCATAGGCTCAGGCAATCCTCTCACCTCGGTCTCCCAAAGTGCTGAGATTATAGGCATGAGCTACTGTGTCCGGCCAAAACCCATGTTTTTTATGAAATAAACAAACTCTGAGATACACTTTCAAGTATGTATAATGTGAACAGATCCATTCATTCATTAAGCAAATATTTTTTGTTTTGTTTAGGATTTCTGTTTGTTTTTTGTTGTTTTATCCCAACTTTGTTGAGACTTAAAATACATAGCATACAATTCAGTGGTTTTTTAGGATACTCATAAAGTTATCCAACCCTCACCACTAATTTTAGAACATTTTCATTCACCCTCAAAATAAATCCAGCCGGGCTCGGTGGCTCAGGCTGTAATCCCGCGCTTTGGGAAGCTGAGGTGAGTGGACTGCCTGAGTCTGCAGGTTCGAGACCCGCCTGGGCAACTTGGCGAGACCTCATCTCCACAATGAATCAAAAATTAGCTGGGTGAGGTAGCGCGTGCCTATAGTTCCAGCTACTTGGAAGACTTAGGCGGAAGGATCGCCGGAGCCCAGCAGGTCAAGGCTGTGGTGGCCGGGAGCAACCACTGCATTCCAGTCTGGATGACAGAGTGAGACTCCAATTCAAGAAAAAAAAAAAAAAAAAATCCAATGCCCATTACCAATCACTCCCCAACCTCAGCCCTTTGGAAACACTAATCTACTTATTTTTTTGGGGGGGTGCCTATTCTGGACATTTCATATAAATAGAATCACAATATATGACCCTTTGTATCAAGCTTCTTTCACTTAGTGTGATGCTTTCAAGGTACATCCATATTGTAGCATGTATCAAAACTTCATTTTTTTTTTTTCAGTTGGAGTCTTACTCTGTCGCCCAGACTGGAGTGCAGTGGCACATTCCCGACCACTGCAGCCTCGACCTGCTGGGCTCCGGTGATCCTTCCGCCTCAGCCTTCCAAGTAGCTGGAACTACAGGCGCATGCTGCCACACCCAGCTAATTTTTTGATTTACTGTAGAGATGTGGTCTCGCCAAGTTGCCCAGGCAGGTCTCGAACCCACAGGCTCAGGCAATCCACTAACCTCAGCCTCCTAAAGCACAGGATTACAGGCTGAGCCACCGAGTCCAGCTTTATTCTTCTTTATGGCTACAGTATTCCATGTGTGAATGTACTCTGCTTATCTATTCATCTACTAATTAGCATTTGGGTTGTTTTCACTTTATGTCTATTATAAATGATGCTACTATGAATATGTACAAGTTTTTGCATGGACACGTGTTTTCTCCCATGTGGTGAGCTGTCCTTTTGCTTTCTTGATGGTGTCCATTGAAACATACATGTTTTTAATTTTGATGAAGTTTAATTTGTCTATTTTTATTGTCGCTTGAGTTTTTGGCGTCATAAGAAACCACTGCTTGGCTGAATTTGTTTTCTGGTTCTAATAGTTTTGTGTGTGGATTCCTTAGAATTTTCTATATACCAAAAGTCAGCATGATAGTGGCAGAAAAAGACCATTAACAAACTATGTCAGGTGGTGAGACATGTTAGGGCTTACTTTTTTTTTTTTTTAAAGCGTACACATAAATATATACAACCACTGGGAAGGTACACAGTAACAGTTGCATGAGTAACAGCAACTGAGTCTGAGGCAGCCACAGTGACAGGAGATGGAGTGAGAGGGAGACTCCCTGGTGATTCTTCAAAGTGCTTTGGCAACTTTCGAATCTGGTACCATTTAAATGTGTTACCTATTCCAAAAAGATAGTTTTAAAATAACATTACTTTTTTTTTTTTTGCCAAGATTCAGAATTACAAAGGTACCAAACCAAAAGGAAGCCTTGTGTTCCCCCAGGCACCAGGGCCCTGCCACGCCTAGATGAATCCACAGTGCACAAGTGAGACAGAGACACCGCTGAGAGCACTCAACATGGTGCCCAGGGTCTTCTCAGGGCCAGGAAACCTTTTGGGAGAAAGTTGCCTTCGCCTTTGGCCCAAGAGTTAATTTTGCCCAGACAGGTCAGCCAGAGGTGGGAGCTTAGGAGGTCAAGAAGCAACGCAAAATCCAAGTCAACCAGCCTGGGTGGGATCCTGGCTCCACCCCTAGACAACAGGGCCCTGTTCCTTCATCTGCAAATGGGACAAGGATGTGACAGCCACATCCTTGCTGACTCAGCCCCGTGCCTGGCACACGCAAACGCTCCACGGTTTAGCTGTCACTGGAAGCAGGTGAACAACCCCAGCACCAACTGGCATCACATCTTCTTCAAGAAGGAGAATTCCAGGGTCTGTCTAGGTCATGCCTATCAGTTCTCAGAGCCAGCGGGGGGAGAGGTCATCCATCCTGAAGCACCTACAGCCTCAGGAGCCTGGAACCACACCTGTCGATCCAACCTGCTCAGTCCACTGAGGCAAGGAAAGCCCCATCCAAATGGCTGGATGGTGCATGTCAGCACTGAAAGGCTAAGCATTAATTATCCTGAGCCGCCACTTAACGAGATACATTCTCAAACCCTCAGAAAGACTTCCGGAGGGAAGGAAAAGGGGAGGAAGAAAAGGTTGTATTATTTTGGTTTTGATGTGTTTGGTTTTTCCTGCTCTCTGGTTCATTTGTTTCTACAAGAAGAAAAAATAAGTGGCTGGGTTCCAAGACTCCAGCAGGAGACGGGTGTCAGCTGGGTGCACAAAAGTCTTTAATTACAATGTAAAGGACATACTGCGAAGTTACAGGAAATACACAAAGGAAGTCCACCACACCACCACAAATCTGGAAGGTATTTATGGGTCTCTGCAGGCCAGCAAGAGACCTTGGACAGCATATCTTCAGTTTGCATTTAAGGGACAAGGTGTGTTCTAAAACACACCTCTGCTTTCCCAGGGTGATGCTGAGGGCAGAGGTTGGCCAATAGAGGAGTCGGGTCAGAGCCAGAGGGATTTAGGGATTAAAGGGGTGCGGTGCTGAAATGATCACCAACTTGACCCACTGCCTCTGGGATTTGCTTCAGAGAAACAAGAGCCTCCCTCCCCCATCCGTGGGTGTTCATAGCATCAGCCTCTTTACTTCTGCTGTAGGAAATTTCCACAATAAAAAGTTCAGAGACTGAGAGAGGGAGGGAGTGAGAGGGGGTGAAGGGAGAAAGGTCCCCAGCAGGTGACCTGGGACAGGAGGAAATGGGGAGGAGAAGGAGAGAGAGGCTCCCATCTCCCTCCTGACTCCCCCTACTCAAGTAGAGGCCAGAGACACACAAGGAGGACGCCAGTCTCCGTAGCCCCCAAAAGAAAAAGGTTTACCATACAAAACATGAGGACATGTCCCCAAGAGCTTCAGTCGGCTACCGGATTGACGAAAGTTCAGCCATGGGTCCCGCCCCCAAGCAGGGAAGCCCGCACCCGTTGTCCATCACGACAAATGCACTCAAACCCCGGTGCCCCGACCTGCCCAGGGACCTTGGAGGCGCGACGAAGCCCCCAGTCAGTCCCCGGCACAGGGCTGCGCTCCGTCCCTAGGCGCCAGCGGAAGCAGACCGGGTCCGTCACCTCCAGGTGGGGCCGGCCTTCCAGTTTAATCTGCTCCTTCCGCCCCAAGGGAGGCAAAGGCACGGGTGATCTCGGTCTTCGTGTCCAGTGTCCAGGCTCGCCCTGTTCCTAAAGCTCACACTGCAGGGGTCGCTAATGCCTCGAGTCCCGGGCGAGTCAGAGCTCGGGGACTCTGCTCGGACCCCGCAGGAGTGAGAAAAACGAGGCTTGGAAAATAAAGGCCGCGTGCGGGCTGCCCGAGGAGTCTGGAGCCCAGCCTCGGCGGTCCCAAGCCCGGCGCCCGCGGAGCCACTCCCCACGCGCCAACCCCACGCGCGGGCCGCCCACGCGCGCTCCTGTCCCCGGTGGGCATCGGAACAGTCGCGGCCGCTGGACTTCCTGCATTTGGCAACCCCGGCTCCGGTTA